CAGATCCCCGTCTCCTTGCTGAAGAGGCCACCCTCAGCTTCCCCGGGCTGCCTGCATTTCTTCTCAGGGACGTGGTCCCTCCATCTCGAAAGCATCAACGGTTTGTTGAGCTCTTCTCATGATTCACCTCTGTCTGACTTTTCCTTTTCCATTAGCCAGAGAAAGCTCTCTGGCTTTAAGGGTTCACGGCATTAGGCCAGACCCACCAGGACATTGCTCCTACCCACCTAGAGGACAGCTGTGCCATGTTACACGGTGCAATCATGGGAGTGCTATCTCATCGCAGTCACAGAGGCCAGGGGGCGGGGAGGAACATCTTTATCTTCGTTATTCATTTGTACGTCTCCCTGTTTTACTGAAATGCAAACCTTTTAAAGAAGGGCATGCATCTTTACCCCTCTTGGCAGTGAGAATGTGAATGCACAGCAGGTGCTCAAAAAAGTCCCTTGGACTAAGGCACAAGGATACATTGTACAACACAGGGAACATAATATTTCATAGTAACTTTAAATGCTGTATGAGCTATTAAAGTATTGAACCACGATGGTGTACACCTGAGACTAATGGAATATTGTACATCGACTATACTTAAAAAAATTCCCTTCGAAAGAGCATCTTCTTTTTTACTTCTACTTGGTCACCAAACTTCCCTGATGGAAGTCATTTCCTGTGTCACACAATCTGTCCTTGAGCCCCAACGCCCATCGCTCTTACCTCTGTATATGCCATTCCATCCGCCCAGCTGGCTGTGTTCGTCTCTTGCCTCCAAGTGTCCTCCGTGATCAGAGGTGAAGTACGTGAGCGTCTTGTTTTTCAAACCGTGTTCTTCGACGGCATTGAGAATTTCCCCTTTGCAAAAAATGGGACATTTCAGAGCAGCGTAAATAAAACCACATTGGTGAACTCCACATAACACCCCCCTTCCCTTTCTGAATAAGTCACTGCTTGCCAGTCAAGAAAAAGGAATCACGGTCACGCAAGTGCTCGGTGTGAAGGTGTATGTCGTTTTCCTTCCGATACCACAGGATTTAGAATCCTGCTGGCAAAAATATCACTGATCCAGAAGCACATAGGTCCCCAACAGAAGGCTGTCCTGGCACTCTGCCTGCGTGTGTACACATGTCCATGACAAGCATGTGTAGGTGGGAACGTGGTGAGAAACTGTGATGTGGGAGATCCCCGTCGACACGGGAGGAAGCCAGAGCTGGGAGTATCTACGCGTGTTGGCCTCCGGGGTCAAGACTCAGCACATGCAGACGACCGTGTGTAAATCAAGCGATCGCTTTATCCGTGGGCATCCCACGGGCGTGAAAAACACAGAAGGACTTTTAACCCCAAGGGAAGGTGCAGTGCTGAAAACGCAGGGTTTTGAAAACATGGTGTCATCTGCCCTCCTGTTTGGGGGCTGTCTGCCTCTTCACGTGGCCCTGTGTACCAGCATGCTTGTGTGAGCGCACGCTGGGATAAACTCCAAGGGTTTCCACGCCCACCTTGTTTTAAGGGTCCACAGTCTTGTGGGTCCTCTGAGGCTTTCTTGAAGCCACAAAATGAGGGTTATTTGGGACCAGTGTCCCGAAAGGCAGCAAGACTGCCCCACTTTCTGTAATGTCGCGTGACGGTTTGGCATCACCGACCTTGTCAAGGGCGGTCTGGCGCCGAAGCAGAGCGAGAAATCGGAAAGGCAGAGGAACGCGTGGACGATATGGGAGAGCCTTCCTCCCACTGTTTGTTTGCCCTTTCTGTTCTTTGCTGCACCCCGGTTCTTCGTGAGATGGCTCACCCTGTCACCACGCTCTCGTGGGGAGGCCAGGACTGAAGGAAGTTAAGCCGTGCGGGGACTTACCCACGAGCCAGTCCATCTCCTCCACGTTGTCGCCGTACAAGCCATGCTGACTCTTCCCAAGAAACTCCTTTGTCGTCACGAGGGGAATATGCACGTGGAGCAGGGAGACCACGAGCAGGAATGGCCCGTGCTTGTTTCTGAAAGAAGAAGAAGAAAAAAACACTTCAGGTAGAGGACCATCTCTTTCAACGCTCGCTGACCCATGACTTCAGAGAAGAGACTCGAAACTCAAGTTCTGGAAGCCAGTCCCCATGCAGATGTTGAATTCCTCAAACCCACTGGCTCACAGGGCTGGCGGATGTGATCCCAGGGATGATCAAGAGACTCAGATGCTCGGAGAACTCACCGCCCTTAGGATGGGATGCTGTCCTTACCTTTCAATGTAGGAAACGGCTTCGTTTAGCAGAAGGCTTGCGGCTCTTTCCAAAACCATGGGCTGCTCTGTGACCTCGTGGTTTCTCATCAGGATGCAATTCCAGCGGCGGGCAAACCCAAAGCTGGCGTACCAGGAGACAAAGAACAGGAAGAGCAGGCTGGCCGCCCCCAAGACTGCTTTCCAGGAAATGAAGAAGAGCCCACAGGCCTTGCCAGCCGCGAGGGTGAGGACCCCCAAGGCCATCATCTGGGTGTAATGCCGCAGCCTCGCCCTCGTGGCCGCGTCCATTTCCGGGGATCTGCCCGGGAGACAGTCGTTGACGAGGGTGAAGGGCATGCCAAAGAAGTAGTCGAACCCGTGGCTTAGCGGGTGGTGGCAGTGGTCGGTGCGCGATTCGCAGTTTACGCCCTGGTGCCATTTGCCTGAAGATAAAAGCCAAAACTTAAAAAAAAAAAAAAACTTCAGGGACTCTGATACAAATCACCTTCTGAGAATAATTTGGATGTTCCGACAGAAAGAAGAAAAACGGTAAAATTTGAAAGAAGAAAGGAACAGAACAGAAATTCGAAATAGAAAGGCACACTGTGGATTTACGATATTGGTCTTTAAACGCACACATTACGCTTCATAAATACGAATGAACGCATCCAGGGAATATGCGTATCAAGTGACTGAAGGTTTAAGCCCTTTTCTGCAGCATGTGAGATTAAGAGCTTGCAACCCTTGACCACTCTACTACACTAAGTAACTTAGAAAATACAATTTCCAGATTTTCATATTTTTACTTTAAAAAACTTGAAAAGGGGAATTGACACAAATCATCTTAGGACAGAGAAGTTAACAGGCTCCTTCCACTAGCTAGTAATCACAGGTAATTTTTTTCCCAATGGCAGTCATTTTCACAACAATTGAGGTAGGACGCCCGCATCTCAAATTCCAGGAGAACGTCCAAGAATTGGGTTGTCTATGGGCACTTTGTGTTTATTTCAGGTACCACAGACTCCTAACCAGCTTACATTTAGCTACAAAACCGGCTAGAAAAAGCTGCCACCTGCAATTTGCCCAAAATTCCAAGTGGAGAAGTTAAACCAGGTCCCTGCCCCTTCTCCTTCCTACCACTTATAAACCATCTTCAGAGTCTGTAGGAATCTGTCCTAGAACCAAACCCAGGGGTCTACCTTTTTTATCCTTAAGGAAAGAAAAATGCTGGGGCGGGGTGAGGATTGTGGACAAGAAACTGAAACAGAAGCACCTCCCACCGCCAGAGCTTTCCGCCATTTGGTTTTGTAACTCTGAGGGTTTTGAGGTGGGAGGTGGCCATTTAGGCAAAGATAATCTGTAGAGACTTCTGACATATCCCAAGAGGAGAGGATGGATTTGTCCAAGGAAGGAAGGAGGCTAACTGAGCAAGATTTTGAATTAAAATGACTCTTCAAAGTACATGCACCCCCAGTGTTCACAGCAGCAGTATTTACCATAGGCAAGACTAGGAAGCAACCTAAGTGTCCACCGACAGATGACTGGATAAAGAAGCTGTGGTCTATTTACACTATGGAATACTACTCAGCCATGAAAAAGAATGAAGTCATGCCATTTGCAGCAATATGGATGGACCTAGAGATGATCATACTAAGTGAAGTAAGTCAAACAGAGAAAGACAAATATCATGTGATATCACTGATATGTGGGATCTAAAATATGACACAAGTGAACTTCTTTACAAAACAGAAACAGACTCACTGACATAGAAAACAAACTTACCGTCACCAAAGGAGAAAGGCGAGGAGGGAGGGATAAATTGGGAGTTTGGGATTAGCAGATACACACTACTGTCTATAAACTAGATAAACAACAAGGAGTTACTATAAAGAACAGGGAACTATATTCAATATCTTGTAATAACCTATAATGGAAAAGAATCTGAAAAAGAATATATGTATAACTAAAGCACTTTGCTGTCCACCTGAAACATCGTAAATCAACTATACCTCAATTTAAAAAATTTTTAAATGACTCCTCAATGAGAAAAATTCAAACACAGTGAACAATTCAAGAGTGATCAGACGGATCAGACACTCGATTTGAGCTCTGATATAATTTTTTTTTCCCTCGTAGGAACACAGGTTCCTCTGATTTCTGATGGTCCCACCCCCTGGAAGACCCGAGTAGCGCTTATCACCGCACCGATGAGGCCCGTGGCGTAACCTTGCTGCTGGAGGACTCTGGCAAACGTGGTCTCGTTCTCGGGAAGTCCGCCTGAGCCCGCGTTCCACTGAAGGGCCCGGTACCCGTTGCTGGCTTCCATGCCTGCGGCGGGGAGCAGAGCAGAGCGGATGTGTTCATTTCCCATGGGCTATGGTTGAGGTTCTCAATAGCAGATTGAGGTTCTCAAAGGGGAATAATTCTACACCCCCACCAGTGGACACTCTGCAGGGCCTGGAGTGGTTTGGTTGTCACAATGAGGGGAGGGGGGATAACAGCATCCAGCGGGTAGAAACGCCCTACAGCACACAGGACTCCCCGACCCAGAGAATCAGTCAGTCCCAAATGGCAGCAGTGCCGAGGAAGAGAAACCCTGGGCCTTCACATGAGAGACAGTCTGCAGAGGGATCGATTAATCAGTTGATTGATTAGTGTATCTATCGATTGATTTATCTATCATCTATCTATGTATCTATGCATCTATCTATCATCTATCCATCCAATAATCCATCCATCTAATCTTTCTACCTATCTATCCATCCATCCATCCATATAATCTTATCTATCTATCCATCCATCTAATCTACCTATTTATCCATCCATCCATCTAATCTATCCAACCGTCTAATCTATCCATCTATCCATCCATCCATCTAATCTTATCTATCTGTCTGTCTGTCTGTCTGTCTATCTATCTATCTATCTATCTATGAATGACAGTGACTCTTAACCAACGATGATTTTGCCCTCCAGGGGACACCTGACAATAGCTGGAGGCATTTTTGGTTACCACAACTTGTAGCAGAGATAAGAACAGTGGCTAGTAGCGCATAGTTGGCAGAAACTTACTCCCCAGGACCTCAAAATGTGACTGCATTCATGGATGGGGGTCTTTAAGGAGGTAATTAAGGTAAAATGAGGTCAGTAGGGTGGTTCCTGATCCCATAGGACTGGGGTCCTTGTAAGAAGAGATGAGGATCCAGACACACGCAGAGGGATGACCACGAGGACACAGGGAGGAGACGGCCGTCTGCACAGCAAGGACAGAGGGCTCAGGAGACACCAGCCCTGCTGACACCTGGGCACACTGAGGGATTGCTGGGTCGGGGGGTACACACACATTCACCTGGTGCAGACGCTTACAAACCAGTGTCCACAGTGGTCCTACCCGGGTACAGCTGCACCCACGGTGTTCAAGGATCTCCTCTCGCTCTGTTTCCTTGCCAACACTTGAGACTGTCTATCGTTTTTATGCAGCCACTCTGCTGCATCTATGTTCATATAAATTTTTTCAAGTTATATTTTGAACGGTTTCTTCCTGTTCCCCGTTGCTCCCTTTGTACGTACTTTGGACCCCCTGGAATGTAACCACTGTCGTCACGTCAAACGTTTTGACATGGCTCTCTGTACTAATTTTCTGATGACTGCTGTAAGCAATCACCACAATTTTGGTGCCAGAAAATGATGCCGATTTCTTTTCTTGGGTTTCCGGAGGCCAGAAGTCTAAAATCAAGGTGTGGGCAGAGCTGTATTCACCGTAGAGGTAGCCTCCAGAGCTGTATTCCTGGGGGAGAGTCAGGCTTAGGGTGAGGGACGTAAATTTGGTGCCAGAAAGCAATAAGGATTTATTTCCTTGTGTTTCTGGAGACTGGAAGACTAAAATCAAGCTGTCGGTGGGACTGAATTCCTCTAAGAGGATGCCTGCCTTCTTATGCCCCTTTCTGCATCTTCCACACACCCTGCTCCTCTTACCAGGGTTTTTGGGATGACATTGGACCCACGTGGATAATCCAGGGTCATCTCCGCGTGTTAAGATGCGTCCCTTAATCACATCTGCAAAACTCCCTTTGCCATATTAAAGAAGAGCAATATTCACGGATTCTGGGCGTGAGGATGTTGTGGGCCATTCTTCAGCACCCCCACAATCTCCCAGAACCCACCTGAAATCATGACTTCACATCAAGATTGACTCACGTATTTTAAGCAAATAACATCACATGTAATCAGCTCTGTCCAGAGAGCTTCAGCCCTTCAGTATTCCAAATAATCATACTATTTTTTAAAAAAAAGATTTGTTTTCCTTTTGGCAGGACTACGTACACCATACTGGGTATGCCAGCCCAGGACAACGGAACGGCAGCTTCCGTTTTCACCGTCCCCCCCGGATCTCAACCATCACCACCCGATGACTGGGGACGGTGAACGGGGCGGTGGGGACGGGCCCTCTCCCCGGCCGCCCCCCCCCGCACCCACCTGATCTGAGCGCGTGTCGGCCCGTGAGGAAGGCCGCTCTGCTCGGGCTGCAGAGCGGGGCGGCCGCCAGGTGCTGCGTGAGCCGCACGCCTTCCCGCGCCAGTCGGTCGACATTCGGCGTCCTGAGCAAACCACACAGAGGCCGCCGTCAGGACGCGGTCGTGCGAGGGGACAGGGCAGCGCATCCCCGCGCTGAAAGCGCCCAGATGGTAGGGGCGTCCCCGGGCTTTAGAACGAGCTGTGTTAAGTCCCCTGCAGAGGCAGCTGGACCCCCACTTCTAAAAGTTTGGTGCAGAGACGGAAGCCGACACTGTCACATGCACACGCCCCGAAAGGGTCTGAGAAGGCTTTCTGGAGGAGGCCACGGCGGGCTCCCACGCGGGCCTGAAGGCCTGCTGGCGTGCAGCTGTTGCTGCCACGTGGCTGTGGGCCCAGGATGAGCCGGCGTGGTCTGCGTTTCCCGCCAGCCCGGAGGAGGGGGCGCTGGGCTTCCTCGTGGGCTGGTCCAGAGGCCGGGCACCGGGGCAAGAGGGCGCAGGAAGGCCGGAAGGCCGTCGGCAGGCAGACAGCAGCAAAGACTGGGACTCCTCGTTACAAGGGGGACCCCGGAGTCCCTGGGCTCAGCCCCTCAGAAATCCCCTCATGGCATCCCCGACAACAGCCACCTGGTCTCCGGTCACTGGGAAACAGGGCAGCCCGTTCCGTTTTTGAACGATGCGTTAGAAACTTGTCTTGCTCTATAGGGTGGATGGGAAGGTCTCAAAACCTTAGAGATTTTTCTTCACATCTTTGGGGCTGACAACTTTAGACCAGTGGCTCTCCAGGGGGCAACTTTGCTTTAGCGAAATCTAGGGGGCATTTTGGGCTGTCACAACTCAGCAAGAGGGTGCTCGTGGCATCTGGTGGGTAGAGACCAGGGACACTGCTCAAAATCCTGTGGTGTACAGGGTGCCCCTGTCACGGAGAAGTCTCTAACCTCAAATATCAATAGGGCCGAACTTGAGAAACTCTGCTTTAGCTTAAGGGCCTATCTATCTATTTATCTAATTTTCATCCATCTATCCATCCTTCCGTCCAACCAACCGTCCATCCAACCATCCATCCATCCAAATATCCATCCGTCCATCCATCCATCCATCCATCCATCCGTCCAACCATCCATGCATCCAACCACCCATCCAACCATCCATCCATTCATCCACCCGTCCATCCATCTGTCCACACATCTGTCCATCAATCATCTAGGTATCTACCAAACATTTGTCTCTTAGAATGTCTTCGTGATCATCTACACTGGGGAATGGGACAAAGAGCACCATAGGTCTGAACCTCAGTAGAGCACCTCCCTCCTGCAGAATCCTTTCCCTCCACTTGTTAAAAGATTATCTTACAAAAGGAAAAAAAAATGCTACTTCTTTGATACATTTAAGTGTGATGTAAAATTTCTGTGCTTCTCAGTCAACTGAAGATCATTCCTTTTTTCCCTTATCAAGTTTCTTCCCAAACATGGTCCTAAAACATTACTCTAGAGTGCCTCTCATTCCTGTATGCATTCTTTTCCTTTTCAATAGCACTGTGGCCTGTGGAATCAGTTACTTTTATTAAAAAAAAAAAGCATCTGAAAGTGATATAAATATGCTGAGAGATCTCTTGCTGCCTCTAGGGAAAAAGATGGGGTAGCAGCGTATGAGTGAGATGTGCTGGGAGAGGAGACAGCTTCCCTCCCTACTGTGGTAATACAATGAACAGGTATCATGTTTATTTACATAACTCCCCGCTCAGTCTGTAACCCGTCTCTGGAGTAGCACTGCTTTCAGACCATCAGGGGGTCACTTTTATATTTTGCATCACGGAACTGGAAGGGTCCATCCAATGACCTCCTATTCCCCGAGGAAACATGCAGGCTCAGAGGAGCTCAGGGTCTGGGACCCCTGGCAGAGCCATGCAGGAGCAGGGTCAGCACCACCGGGCTGCTCCTGGGACTCCCTGACCCCCGGTGACCAGCCTCAGGCTGCATGTTCACATTAACTCCCTTCTACCGCAAGGAGGGAGAGCCGGTATTACCAACACAAGCCGCAGCCGAGTTCTGAGGCTCTCCAAGCCTGTCCCCGCCTGCAGACGAAAGCGGGAAAGGTTTAACCCAAGGGGATAACTCTGGATCCGTCTCTCCATGGAATCTTTCAGCTCTGCTCCCTACGTGAGAGCCTCCTGCACATTTAATGATTTAGGACAAAGATTGGCAATCTCTGGCCAAATGTTACTGTGGGTCTATTTTGGGAAGTCCCTCTGGAGCTCAGGGCAGTTCTGAAGTTTTTCAAGAGTTGGGAAAAATAAACAGAAGAAGAAAGAAGGGTAGGACCTTATGTGACCCATGCAGGCTCTCACAGTCCCATGTGGCCCCTTACAAAAGAGGATCGCTTATATTAACCCCTAATCTGGAATAAAAAATTCTTCCAGCGTGTCACCCTAGGTGATCTGGGTTGCATCTTAAATCCATTGAGTGTGCTTCCAAGAGACAGAAGATGAGGGACACAGACACAGAGGAGAAGCCACGTGGAGACGGAGGCGGAGACGGAGGCGGAGACGGGACGGAGGCGGCCACCAGCCCATGGATGGATGCCTGGAGCCCCCAGAAGCTGGAAGAGGCAGGAGGGACTCTCCCCTGGAGCTTCAGGAGGGAGCGCGGCCCTGGGACACCTTGACCTCGGGCGTCTGGTCTCCAGAACTGGAGGAGGAGAAATTCCTCTTCTTTTAAGGGCCCCAGTTTGTGGTCATTTCGTACGGCTACCCCAGAAAATTAATGCACCCCCCCACCACTGTTCATGTTGTTTGAAACGTTTAGGACTGTCTTTGCCTGTCGAAAAGTAATTGTTTTGGTGCTGAGATTCAAGGCATTAAAGAATTTCGTAAGTTCTACAGGCAGATTTTAAATGCATCTCACACACACACACACACACACACACACACACACACACACCCACCTGCACCCCCAGCCCGTGGTACCTCAGTGTGTCGTTCCCATAGCAACCAAGGTCCCCAATGCCAAGATCGTCTGCCATTATCAGTAGGATATTTGGTTTAAACGCATTTGCTGCTTTTAATTCGCAAGTCCTCAGAAGGCAGCTCACAGTGACTAAAACCGCCAGAGACTCCCTGCAGGAAAAACACACCAAAAAAGGCAGAAATAAACGTCTGTCGGCTGGAATGAAATGCTGGCATTTCAAACCAGGTTGCTGGGAAGGTATCCGCATTTCAGGCACGTTAGGATCTAACAAAGGACAGCCTCCAACTTTTGACTCCTTTTGTCCCAACGGCTTGAGTAATAAACCGTCCTGAGCCGCAGAAACCTTGGCCGCGCTAGGTTTTTGTTTGTTGGTTTGTTCTGGAAAGTCGTGGTCGGCCAAAGTTCAGTTTCTTGCGCTGAATTCACCCGGGCTCCTCGTTCCCACCACTTTTAACTACGCCAGTGGCCTTAAAGTCACCAGAGGCCGGGCTCTGAGCTGGGGCGCCCGCCTTCCCGGATGCGCAGGGCGGCCCGG